TTTATGCTTTTTTGAGAATATGAATTTCAATATTATTGTGCATGCAGTCTGATGTATTGCCTGTTCTTAGAAAAACCTTTTCTTTTCTATCAAAATTAACTTTATTCCACCCGAAAAAAACATCTCACAATAAATACACACTCTCACAAATGATCAAACTTACATATAACAAACGTAGAAAACCCTGTTCACTGAGAATTTGTGAGATCATTAACACCACTGCCTCACAACTCCAAGGGGTTTGATCTCGGTGTGATTGTAGGCCTGTCAAGCTTATTAACTATGAACTGGCTTCATCAGTCTGCTCTCCTCCCCACTGATAGCTGATGTGTGGTGAGTGTTCTGGTGCACTATGGCTGCCGTCGCATCATCCAGGTGGGGCTGCACAGTGATGGTGGTGGAGGGGAGTCCCCATCACCTGTGAAGTGCTTTGAATGTAAGCAATTATTAATTATTATTTTTATGGTGGGGAATGGATTATAAGAAAATGAAGATTTGCAAAGAATGAGAACATGTATTTAATTGTAAATGTTATAAGTATATAATACTGCATTTAATTAATACTACTAAAATATATGTTGTACAAATGCCGTTCAGAATTGTTTGTATTAAGTGTAAGAACTGTTTAAGTGTTAATTGTATTATAGTTATTGTAACAAATTGGCTGTTTCAGAAACTGTTGACCCTGCAGGCTGTTAAAACACAGATAGCAGAACCACATCTGGGGGCAGCTTCAGAACAGAACATATGGCGTGATAATGCACAACAGCAAGTGCATGATATAGTTACAGAACCAAGCCATGAGGTCTTTGAATATGTCTACTATATGATGCACTATGGTCCTTGTGCCTCTTTTTAGTGTGCCTTTATTTATGGTGAAATTTCTTCACAAAACAGTATTAAAATTTAAGAAAAGGACTGTAACGTTTCTCAAATTGAAGATAATACATTTTTACTCCTCATTTAAAGGTGCCTAAAAACTGCTTGTATTGTAAGAGAAAATAGGATGGTTTTGTGAATGCATCATTTCAGACCTGAAACCTTTGTTGTGCCTGGATACACGACAAGAATTCCAGACATACTGTGTAATACTAAGACAATTGTTTTACACACAGCAAAAACAATGCCCTATTCAGTTTCTGCATTTGTATAGGGTTGCTTGTTTCCAGTTGTCCCCTCTGGTTCATGGTTCCCTGGTCACACAGCAAAAGACAGCATATTACATGACAGACAAATTGTGGATAGTTGCTAGTTTAAAACTACCTAATTTTGTAGTCCTACAGTATGTAATTGAAGCACATAACTACCAACTTTTGATCTGCAGTTAGTAACGAGCAGTTTGTGCTTGTGCTTAGAAGCATGTGTATGTTTGATGTTGCTCAGAAGGGCCCATAAAATTCTGACACTTTTCAATCAAGCATTCACAAATTTATCATCTAATTAACTCGATCCGGTTAATTGCAGAGCAGTGGTGTAAAAAGCCGCTCATTAGGAGGTAGCGACTAATATGTAGATTCCTAGCTCCACCTACTCCCTTGCTATATGTTCACGTCTCTGCGTGGTGAAGTCAGAGGAGGTAGGTTAATTTGCATTTTACATCCCATGATGCTCTGCAAGACTTACAAGATTTAATTAACATTGTTTCGTTTTAGCATGTTTTTTTGATTCCTAACAATGAAGACAGGTGTTTTATAATAGTGTTGTGTGTGTTTTAATACTCGTGGTATTAAATAAAGTTTAAAGTTTGTGGACCATTATAACACCGTAAGGCGTGCGCATTGTGTTTGCTATGGGGTGGTTAGACTGGGGGAACGGTAGGTTAGCTTTGCGCAGTGGCAGTATCGTAGCCTATGAGGTTTATCCGAGGCGCGATTATTGCTAGTTGAAAACTTTACCCAATACCCCGCTTGTACTGGCTTGAAATATAGCTAGTGCCGGCAATTTTTGACAGTCTCTTCGGAGACTGAAAATATTGGTATACAAATAGAATTATACACCAGTATTTAGCGTAACAAGTTAGTCGTGATGTATTTAGTTTATGTTGTTATAGATCCAAAGATTTTTGTGCTTTGAGAGTGGTACTATATAATAAATAATGCATGTACGAACACGTATTGGTGGGGGCTGGACTATTTCCATAAGGCGAAATCGTTTTAGCAGTTATTTAATTAAATATCCAGAATAACAAACCAGTCTGGCCTTGCGAAAGCACGGGGGGTTCAGAGATGGGGGTGCGCAGTTCTTCGACGGCGCCATCACTCCGTCCGGGTTTTCTTTGCCGTTGCACACAAAGTTTGTTTCAGGAACTGTCATGGCGGCGCCCGTGGCTGAGGGCTGGAGCTGGTTTCTGACTTTAGCAGCGGGGATTTCTCTTTTGAAGGGTCTGCTTATTAATACTTAGTAAGTTCCACCGGTTTACGCGAGCTGCGTTTTCCATCTTACCCGGGAATGTCGAGTTTTCGAAACGACAATTACTGGTCATGCCGTTTCGATAGATTATGTTTTTGATAGCTCAAGACGCAGCTCATTCGTGGTCTTCATTCATTCTTGACCATGTCAAAATCCAGCACACGATGCAAGCAGACATAAGCGCTCGTGTATTTGGGATATTTATAACCTTCTGTACAAATAACGTGTAGATTCGGTTCGAAAGTTGTATTTAGATTTTGATGATGAAGGTTTTGGTTGAAAGCGAAATCAACGAGAACTGACACCAGAAGATTTACATGTAAAACTTAATAAATTGCTTTTAAAAACCTTATCGCATTCATTTTCGTTTCCAGTGTGTTGTAGGAGCATTTACCGATTTGTTTATTTTTACAGCCATTCTACAGATTTTGAAGTTCACAGAAACTGGCTTGCTATTACACACAGTTTACCTCTGTCCTTATGGTACTATGAAGTAAGTATTTTTCCTGAACTGATCTGGTTGTTATTGTTCAGAAATGTATCACCCATAGTCCGTGCGCAGGTTCAGAAGGGATTAACGCCTTTAACAGGTTTAATCAGTGGGCAATAAGGAAAACAGAATCGCCCGCCTTTATATAATTCTGCCTTTGAATTCCAAACCATCCCCAAAATACTTTGCACGATTTCATCCGCTGATGTGTAGCTCAGTCTTCAATATAGACGGCATTTTTAACTTTATGTGGAAACATCTGTGAATTCATTTATGACAATGCATTACAATTATAAAAATACACATTTACTTTTACATACAAAACATGGAATTAAAAGACAGTAAAAAAAGTTGACCAGATAACCCTTTGCTCCTGTTTTATTTTTCTTCTTCAAGGACACTTCAGAATGGACTTTAGATTATCCTCCTTTGTTTGCTTGGTTTGAATTTGGCCTTTCCCACATTGCAAAGTTTTTCGATAAAGAAATGCTGGTTGTCCAGAATTTGAATTATGCCAGTTCTGCCACCATTATTTTTCAACGCCTGTCTGTCATCTTTACTGACATTGTCTTCATTTATGCAGTGAAGGAGTAAGTATATTTACTTTTTCACTTTTAAAATATGTTTTGAATATATTTTCTTGGTGTAGAGCGTAGATCAGAGTGTTCGTTGGCCTACAGAATATAATAAACGTGAATAGGCCTGGGTGACTGTGTTTTACCATAGTTGTTATGAGTACAAGATAACCATCACATGCTGTAACTCGTCCATGGAGCTGTAGAGTAGCTGTTTAATCAAATTGCTAGGAGAATAACCGTTAGAGGTCAGTGGAAAATTAAATTGAGTTGATCGTATGGTTTGAAACAGAAGAATTGTGCCTTTTTGGCAGTTTACTGGAGCTGCTTTCTTTCCTTCCACAGGTGGTGCCAGTGTGTGAGAGGGATCAAAGGGCCCAGAGATCTGTGGTTGAAACCAGGATTTGTCCTGGCAGTGCTACTGCTGTGGAATTTCGGCCTCATTGTTGTTGATCGTATCCTTCAGTTCTAGAACAGCCTGCTGCAAGGAAAGTTCATCATCAGTACTGCAGATGGGTTTGGGTTCTAGTAGCTCATGTGTCCAAGGATTTCTTGAAATAAGCCAGGGTAACAGCTTCAGCATGTGTGTATTTGTGCAAAACGTTGTCTCTCAGTTTTTAATGTAATTTCCTGTAAATTCCACCTCTGGTGTCCTCTGGTTTTGTGTTTGGATTGCTTTTGTCAGTGACTTGGAGAATTTTCAATACGTGAATCAGGTCCCCTCATAGCCTTCTCTGTTCAAGACTAAAAAAGTTCAGTTCTTTTAGCCTGTCAATATAGAATTTTAAGCATGGGAATGTATTTGGTCAGTCTACTCTAAAGGTAACCGAGAGCTGCAAAATCTTTTTTTGTAACTTGGAGACCGAATAGTACAATTTGTTCTTAATGAGCTTGCACAATTAACCATGACCAATTAACCACGATTCATTTATTAACATACCTCAAAAAATGTTCAGAACACACAGTGATACAATTTTTCTGTGTGCAAATTTA